GCTAGGAAGGGTCAAGCACCCCCCCCCCAAAACTCCTTAAGTAGCCATCCAGCCCAAATAATTGCCCACCCCTGCTCTTGAAAATGCTATTTAAGTTCCCTAGTATGAGGACAGATAATTTCCAGAAAACTATTTCTTGGCAATAGCATTCTATTTCTCATAAGAATGCATACTGCAGACAGAGAAGTAAGGTTTCTGTTCCCACTGCTTCCCAATAACACCAAGAAAAAATAAGAGATTTTGAAGACCTCAACCATTCATTGTTTTCTCTATGAGAAAGTGAGACTTAGGGATCTCTATATGCATAGCAAGATACAGCTGTTACATTAAATAAAACAAACCACATACAATTCAGTATTTTGACTTGTGAACTAGCACTGATACCATGAAAGCTTACTAAATACTGAGGAGTCATAGCAAGATATGTAAAATTGGGGATTATGTTCAGTTGCGTATGATTTCAGGTCCACATGCAGTCTACTGAGGTCTTGTGAACTGCAGGTTGCACGGTCATCTTACCAAACTTGGACTAGAATCTTCAAAGGGTGCTAACAGGACAAGCCAGGGACTAGAGATCGAACCCAAACCTGCATCTTAATTTGGGGTGGGGAGGGTACAGAATGGCTCTTGAATGTGGGATGGATGCCAGGAATCAAAAACTGGGAGGCATGACTTGCATATTTTAAATAAGTCAAATCTGTGAGTGCCCCACTGAAGAACCTCAGTCTTTCCTATAATGAATCTGTATTTCAGTTTGGAGGATTCACTGGCACAGGAGTACAGGCAAAAATGAGAAGGATCTGCTTGGACTCCTGGAGTGGCAAGAACCATAGAGATTTTAAGCTGTGATAAAAAGTTTTGCCCTCAGGAACATTTGAAATGAAGTGAAAGAAGAGATTAGTAAGCGGAAACTTTTGAGGGATATATAAAAATATGTAAATAGGCTAATTGTGTAAACAAGCACAAACTTTGTATGTTACAGTAGTAGTTTCTGTACAGAGATTTTGTGGGAACTTGACCTCACTGCAATCATCTATTAAATGTCTTTCAGAAAACACATTTAGCTAATTTTATTTTCCAGGTGGTCAGGACGCAATCATCGAGAGAAGATTGGTGTACATGTTAGCTTTGATCAGATACTAAATATGGAGCCCTACTGCTGCAGAGAATCCCTCAAGTCCCTCTTACCCGACTGCTTTATCTATGACTTGTCTGCTGTGGTAATGCATCATGGGAAAGGATTTGGCTCAGGGCACTATACTGCCTACTGCTATAACTCAGAAGGAGGTATGGACAGACCATTCATAAAACGCAGAAATACAATTGTACTTTCTTTCTTGGAAACCAGAGTTCTAGTTTCTTTGTAAATCACTACAAACAAGGTCCTTACTTTCTTAAAATAAAATGGACAAACATTTACTAATCAGACCTTCAGGTGCCAAAATAACAGTTGTTTGGCCAAGAAAACTGAGACAGCTCTAATCTAAAAAACTAAGGGGAAGAAAGGGGATAGCAGAGCAGCTGTGGAGGACTTTAATTTGTTTAATTTTTCCTGGTGAATAGATGCATGTAAACCATAGTGTATATGATAGATCAGTCACTTCCATAAGTTTGCCATAGAAAAAAATGGAAGGCTAAATTGTATTTTTGGTAAAATTTAGTGTTGGTGCTTTAACCAAATGAAAAGATGTGTTTTGTTTCAGTGCATACATACAAGAAATTCTCACTTTCAGAGAATTGTTTTTAATGAATCACAGTAGACACTAAATCAACTGAAGTACAATGCAGGACATTGATTTAAGATACTGGATTACTTTACACTGAAATATTACTTCATTCTAGGATTTTGGGTGCACTGCAATGATTCCAAGCTCAACATATGCACTATGGGAGAAGTACGCAAGACTCAAGCTTACATCTTGTTTTACAGCCAGCGAGTTACTCAGGCAAATGGACACTATAAAGTACCATGTCCTATCTCACCATCTGAAAGCCAGCAGCATACAGAATTTGACCATCTGAAAGAAAACAGTAGCAGCTAATCCCAAGCCAATATGCCATGTACAGTAAGAGTTTAAATTGTCATAAATTTCATATATTTTTAAAGAAAATTCAAGTACAGTATTGATTTTTTTTACTTTGTCTTAATCATTGTACACTATGTTTTACACTTTTGTACTAGCTAAAGCAAGCACTCTAAAATTATTAGTATAAATTTATATGGACAGTAGGTAACTTTCAAAGTACCTAAAATTTCTATATAGCTATTTTTTTAAGAAGTAATTGCAATTTGAATTTAACTCTTACCTCAGGCTATTTTTAAGTTCTGTTTTTATAATCTTTGAATTGGTTTAGAAAAAAAAATGGATCTCAATTTACAATTGATTTGTCTAATTCTGATTATTTTTCTATATATTTTTGTACATTTTATAGGATAGTTCTTACAGTGTATTGATTCTTACTGTTTACAGGCATTGGTATAAATTCTTAATAGTTAACATTTTACCAACAAAGAGAGTTTCTAGCAAATATCAGATAGAAGCAAAACTGTTTAAATTATCAGAATTCCCCTGCCTCCAAGAACACCCCTTCCCCAAAAATCTCTCGTAAGTAATAGATAAGTTGGTCGTCACCCTTTTCCCCCGCTGGTGCCTGTGAAACAATATTGAAAAGAAAGATGCCTACAAATTCATGATGTCCGATTTTAAATTTTACTCTTAAAAGATTTCAGAGGGAAACAATAGTTCGTGCTTATTTACACAACACTGTATTTTCTGAAAATGGGGTGGGGAGCAGAAGTTACTACGATTTTGGCTGAAATTAAGGGATTGTAAAATTATTAATTAGATATCTAAACTATGGGGAACAAGATTCCTTATCTAAAATGGTTAATCTCGTCAGTGAAGAAACATGAGAAAATCTTGGTGAGAGGTCAGGTTTCTGAAGCACATAAAACTCAAAACATTATGGGCATCTGTCTATACACATCCTCTGGGAGGAGTGGGGGTGCTTTAATTAAAGCACATGTAGTGTCGTGTGCTCAGTGTCCCACACTTCAAAATGGTGTCAGGGGCACTTTAAAGCTCAGTTGATGAGCTTCAGTTAAAGCAGCCCTGCTGCTGTTGTGAAACGTGGGGATGCTGAATACACGATGCAGAGCTCCTGGAACACACTAGTTAGCATGCTCCAGCAGATTGTATCGAGTCTGCTCCCATGCATGCTATTTGGCACGTTTGGAGCAGGGCTCCGTCACGTGTATAGGTGCTCCATGTTTCCAGGTTTAAAACTCTTTCAGTAATATCTAGCGCAAATTACTAAAACATTGTAAATTAACTGCACTAAAACTGAAGTTGCATAAGTGATATAGAGTGTAATTTTCTATATTTTGATTTATGCTTCAATATCTCTAAATCTCATACTTTGTTTCATTTTCCTTACTGCTAGTATTCGTTTTCTGTGCATTCAGGAGAATTTACTGGGCCTAAAGCCTGTGCCTAATAAAAAGTCAACTTTCCCCTTTATTCTCTAGCTAATGCCAAGATTAGTTGTTTGTGGTGCAAGATTATTTCTCATAAAACCTATGCAAATAGTTACCTCAGCTGTTGGAAAATTACCTCAAACACATGCGTGTGTACACACACACACACACACACGAGTGTGGAAAGCAACTGTTTTACTGAGATTTAAATTCTGATCACCTGTATCTAGTTTGCATTATAAAACAGCACCAACTATAACATCTTTTACTGGAATAACTACTGAAGGAAAATAAAGCATTAAAACTGTAGGTGGGTAAAGAGCTCTATGAAACATCACACACTTTTCTTCTCCTACTACTGTCTGTAAAATTAATGGATTAAATATTGTATCCTGATGCTTCAACTTGTGTGCGTCTTGGTTTTGATGTAAGAGTTGGTTTTGTACTACCGCTGTAGTAAATGAAGCGCCTTCCATATAAAGTTGATAGAAACAGCAGAGCAGGCTGGATTTCATGGCCTGTCTCGTTTTCTTGTTATGATTATTCCCTACCTCTTGTGCAATCAGACTGGCAGTTCAGTATTTCCTATAAAACCAAATCTCCCCTGCTGTTACCTTAAGGGGTTCAGGTGTCAGGGCTTTGCCCCAGATCAAACTAATTCCCTAACCCCTTTAAAGAGTGTGCATTTTGGTCTGTTGCTTGCACTGTGTAAATGCCATTCCACATCTGCTCTCAGCCTTTATATACATGCAAGTAGAGGAAAAAAATCTCAGACAGAATGGCTGCTAGGGCCCCTGTAGTACATAAAATATATATATAAATTTTATGTACTACAGGGGCCCTAGCAGCCATTCTGTCTGAGATTTTTTCTCTACTTGCATGTATGTAAAGTAGTATGATAGATATAGATATATATATCTATATGTCTCTCAGATGTTGGAACTCGCTCCTTCAGAGCTAAGCAAAAGCGACAGTATTTCAGCCATCCAGGTTCCTGAGTGGATAAGCAAATCCCTTTGGGAGGAATTTCATTCGTCAACAAGAAAATATAGGTTTCTCTTAGGTGATAAGCAAGGGAAAAGCCTAATAACTGGAGAGGAATTGCAAAAGTTGGTTCATATTTCCCCTTCCATACCAATAACTACCACAATGCAAGACCTCAAAGACAAATTGAATAAAAACTAGAATAGGGAAGAATTTCAAAAAGGTGTTTGTAGTTTCTCCTAACCTTAAACATAACCTCAAGGGGAAACACTGCTTTTGAATTACTGTCTTTACTCATGTACCACATGCATCTTTCCCCACAACTGGATTGCATGTCTGAAGTAGAGAGGCTGATTTTTCTTTGGACTGGAAACATGGAGGCACTGTACTCTAATGGTTCCCAAGATGGCTCCTGGTCGTCTCCAGCACACTGTAGCTTGTGCCTGAAGGGCCCTAAACCAGTTTCGTTGTTAAGTGAGCTGCTGCTTGCAGTCCACAATATCTTGATGAGATGTGGAAACAACACTTTATCATGTATAGGAACTGAAATAAAAAACTATTTACAACAAAAAACAATGGCCACTTGTAGATGTGCTCACCATTAACTGATTCACATCACATAGCTCAAATCAAATGTCAATCCAAATTAAGCGTCAGTGGATAATCACTGACCATCAGGGAGGTTTTTGTGCATTTCTACACTTCTGTTGTGGAGACTATGGGGCTTCTGGTGCCACACCTGGTGGTGAGCACAAGCAATAGCAAGCCCTAGATACTTGGTGGGTGGGTGTGTGTGCGCGCGCGCGCACACACGCACACACACACTTTAAAATGCCTGTTCAGACTGCCCTAATTTGCATTAACTTTAATCCTTATTCAATGAGGATTAGTTAGTTCAGACTAGAGCCAATTAATTCAGACTATAGATGTCCACATGTATAGTGATGGCAGTAGTCCAGATTAAACTTAGAAAAACATAATGTCTGTATACAGCCAGTAAGTTTTGCTCTTGTGCAAGTCTGTGGCATAGCCTTGTTGCTGTCCTCTGCACCAGAAAAGTCACAAAGCTTTAACCATATTTGAAGGAGTCTACAAAAAAAGATATGGAAGCCAACACTTAGCATCTTCGGAGGGGGGAGGAACATGGGAACAAAGTCTATCAGGCAACTTTGCAGTTTGTCTTTGTCTGAATAATTTGCTATTTTAGAAGATAATTTACAACTTTGCAGAGCCATCAAATATGTCAGTGCTTGTACAAAAATCAACATGACTGCTTTTTACCTTGATTAGTAAAACTGCTGGGTTTGTGTTGGCAAAAACATGCCATCATAATTTTAGCTACAAAAGTCCTTTAAAAAAAATGAAAAAAATACAACACACTTTTTTCTAAATTAATTGTTTTTACTTTTAAAAATGTGCTCAACATTTCAAATTATATAAACAAAAGCACTGGTCTCAAACTCGTATAGGAAAAAAAAAATCTCATAAGTGACACTGGGTCTTGGTATTTGTTATGTTCTTAGGACCAGAAGCTATAAAACTGCATCTTATCTCTGAACACATCTTCACATCAAGAAAAAGAAAGTTCTGCAAAAGCATCATTTCCACCAAAAATACCTTTTGTTAACTGCAAATTCTATAACAAACTTTGATCGATCATATGCCATAATTGTTTCTTCCCACAAGAAAAATATTTGAAGCAAGCAGAAATTTGGCCAAATGCCACTAACTACAACCAACACTCACAAAATTTTCACTGAAGAATCCCAGTAACATTTACAAACCATGGCATTGTTTCCCTGATGCCATCTTAAACATTTTTTGTACCTCTTTGAGAATATGAATATTGTTTTCCCATAGCAAACATAATATTGCCAGGGAAAGTAAATGAAAATTTAGCAAGAGGAGCAATTCTTTGCTATAAAGTAGTACCTACCTGCTTTCTTTATTTCATTTTCAGGACACTTGCTAACATTTTCAAAGGCACAGTACAATGTGCTGAAAATATATTCACTTAAAATACATGCTATAGTATTAGTCAGCTCACTACACAATAGGCTCTGGGAAACCATGGTGCTACAACTGCTACACGAGTTCAAGTGCTGTGATCTGAAGTAAAGAAGTGTGCCATTTGATACGTTTGTACTAAATCAACAGCATTAGTTTAAAAAAAAATCCCACACCTTCCCCCCTCTCCTCACTTCCAGAAAAATACCAGGGCTTGCTACACTAGGAGACTTCAGCCAGAGTTGAAATACATTACAGGAGACCGATATGTGAGCTGCAAGTCTCCAAGGTAATATTCAGTCAACTGATGCTCTGTAAAGGGTCAGATTTCATCACCCTTGCTTAAGCTAATAACTTACGTTGCACGTAGTCACACTGGTATCAGTGACTGCTCCTAAAATAAGAACTCTTCAATTTGAGTAAGTGGGGCAGAACCTGGCCTTAAGTGGCAAGTTCACCTGGTTAAGGACTGTATCCGTATATTTTGTGTCGTACCAGAAAACTACAGAATTCTGTTCGTGTTAGGAGAGGGCTGCAGCTTTCTGAAGGCAGGATGTGTCTGGGTGTTTCGTGGTTTCAAAACATTACTCTGCAAAAAGCATTCTAATTGGGCCTCCCAACTGGGCTTACATCCTGTGCCCACCAGCATCCCAATGAAGACAGGAAGTACCTTACCAGTTCTAGTGTGTTTTTCTTGCTTACAAGATGGCAATGTTCATTCTTCCCACCATTGTGCTGGGGACTCCCCCTTCAAAATGGACCCTGCTTGTGTCCTTTGATAAGGAGACCATAAGGCTCAAAATGCAGTCAGAATCTTCTTGCCTATCCCCATATTTAAGGTGCATCTCTGCAGGCTAAAATAGTAAGCTCAATAAAACCACCAAGACCATGCACAATTTCCCAATCTAATAGTGCCTTCTTAGCAGACTAAGCCTTGCAGGGAGGGACAGGAAAGGAGAAGGAAGAAAAGGCTGTAAGCAAATTACTCACGAGATACAGCCAAATTCTTTAATAAGCAAGCAACCAGTACTAGTATAAGTATAATGGGTCACCCTAAAGGAGGCAAAGGAGAAAGCATTTTCCTTTGGAAGCAGCCAAGAAAACGATGAAAAGGCAACAGCACAATGAGAAATCCTTCATCAAAAACAGGAAGGAAAATAAAACCAACCGACTTTAAGCCTTTGACTCTCCCCCTAGGTATGACAATAAGCATCCCTGCACCCAGAAGTCAGTGCTGGACTCTGTATGTGGAATTCACAAACCCAGATCAGACACCTGAACAAACCCCTTTAAGTGGGGACTGGGATTCACAATTCCCAGTACAAAAGAATGCAAGTCTATTAGTGCCACTGCTGACCCTGACAAAGTTTGAGATGTAAGATACCAGAGACTTCCCAACAACAATTTCCTAATCTACAAGTCTTTCAAAACTCAGTTTTCACCTCTGAGAGGTATTCAGTATGTTGCAGTCCG